AAAATGTTATATTAAAAATGCAAAACTAATATTTAAAATTTTTTAAATTTGGTTCTAGTTGTAAATTTCATTGAGAAATAAAGTATAATTTCTTCTTAATTATATCCAGTGTTGAAAAGTGAAAAACTATTCATTGAAAAATACAATCGAATATGTAATCAAACGTGAAGCTGTCGGAAAGGCCATCAACGTTTTGCGCACATGGAGTAAATTATTGCAGCATATCAGATGATTGATACCTAACACTATACCATCATTAATTCCGTTACATTTTATTATTAAAATTATAGATATATTCATACATCTTTACATCTAAAATTTTACATCTTTAATTTTATTCATGATATTATTGCAATTGGAATATTAAATCTTTGCAATTGTACGATATAATTCAACGACCGATAACTCCGATAACGAATCAGCCACTCGATAGATCATCAGCTGCAATGACTTTGACGAAAAACAGTTTTTGTCCGTCATTATTGCGCGATTTCACTGTTCCAGGAAAGGGAATCGCCAAATTATCTCAATCATATCATCTATACTGTTATCGGTGCAACGGAAGGGCTTAATCACTCGTCAGCCACTCGTGCGCACAAAAGAAAAGAAAAAGAACGACTCGCGTCCTTCCACTTTCATCTGGTTGCAGAACTCGTCTCGTCTCGATATCGAGAAAGTGCCCCGCACTATGCGAACATCAATAAATACTCCGGATCGTCGACAATTGAAACGCGGAGCCGCCTTCAACCGCGTGAGAGAACCCTTCTATCGACGAACGATCGTGTGAACGGAAAGCGAAAGCACGAAGCGGGGAGGGAAACAAAAAGCCGTGTAATAACACAATCTCCTCGCGGGACGCGGATTCGCGAGCGATCGCGGTCGCGTCGCGGCGCCTCCGCTCCGCCGCGTATATCGAGGACGAGCCCGACGAGCGCGGCGGAGCGCCGTGGAATTCCGAGTGAGCGAGCGAGCGGGTGATCTGCCTACCCATCTACCTACGTTTGTTTACCCTACCGCGAGTCCCTTTGTTTCGGCGCGACCGCGATTCGCGGCCGCGGGTCGCGTCTCGCGGACGTCGACGGGTCAAGGGGAACCCTCGGAATTCTCTCTCTCGATTCCCTTTTTCGCGCGCGCGGCTGTCAGTGCAGCGCCAAATAAGGCAGCCGGCCGAGCCGAGCGGAGCCGAGCGGAGCGCGGAGCTGAGGCCAGGCGAAGCCGCGTAGCGCGCGGAGCCGAGAGAGCGCCGAGTCGCTCCGGAGTCGCTCGCGAGTCTCGCGATATAACTATGATCAGCGATTACTTGGCCCTCGATAAATTGACATCCGACGGCGCGCGCCGCGCCGGCGGCCACCGCGCGAGGACACGTACGTGAGCGCGCGCCCGACGAGGAGGAGGAAACGCGCGAGAGGAAACTCACCGAACTCTGCGGGGAACTGGACACGCTCGGGGAACGCTGCACTGTGACCAACGCCATGGTGATGCGGCACCGTCGTCGCCGTCGCCCCGTCCCGGCCTCGCGACGCGGCAGAAACGCTCGCTCGACACTGTACTCGCGCGCGCACGTACGATCGCGCCGTCAGGAGCGCGAAAAACCCGTCATTTTTCGCGCACCTTTGACGGTATCACGCACGCGGCGGCCATGTTCGATACAGTCGACGGTAGCGCACCGCGCACGCTCGCGCCGAGCCGCCGAGGCCGAGATCTCCCTTCGTCACACTCGTCCCCCCTCCCCCACCCTCAACCCGCGTCGCTCGCCGGTCTCGCCAGCCGGCCGAACCGTCGCCCGCGAAACCGCTTTTATCGCGCGCTGCCCGATGACGTCACGTTTCCGAGTTTCGAGTTTCCCGGCGCACGCAATGCGATCTCGCGGGACTCACGCGCGCTCTGATATTCCCCTCCACTCCCTGAATTTTTTTTCTCTTGATTCACTGATAAGTAATTATAATTGTTGCTCACGTAATTTCTACTATTTAACGACCGTCGATAACGAATACAAATTTTTGTTTC